AAAACTTCTTCACCGAGAGGGTGGTCAGGCATTGGAACAGGCTGCCCAGGGCAGTGGTTGAGTCTCCATCCCTGGAGGGATTTAAAAGACGGGTAGATGTGGTGCTCGAGGACATGGTTTAGTGGTGGACTTGGCAGTGATAGGTTAACGGTTGGACTCGATGATCTTAAGGGTCTTTTCCAACCTTAACGATTCTATGATTCTATGAAATTACGTTGTTCTTTACACAAGGCTTCATTCAAAAGTAATTTCTTTTGCAGATGAGTAAAACAATTTTCCCTACCTCAGTCTGAGCTGCCTCTGCCACCTAAACTGGTTCACATGTATCAAGTTTGATGCCTTTTATTTAAACTTTAAAATGCAGATATCTGTCTTGACATGTGTCCAAATCTTTGACCCAACAATGCTGCATTAAATTCTGTGTCCTTGCAGGTAAGGGGAAAAGTCAATAATGTAAAATGGGTCTCTCTTATGCTGTTTTAAAGCTATGCTGTCTTGATGCAACTCCAGACTCCGAAAGATCTCTCAGCGGTAAGCCATTCTGACTGGCATTATAAGCAAGACTGATAAAACAGCCTTGATTTTTAGATACAGAGCTGCATTCACATGTAATGAATAAAGGATATCAGGAGGACATGACACTAGAACGTTTGTCTGCCACGAATTCCAGCTTTTGCAATTTCATTTTGAACTCTTTCAAGCTTTATTGTCACTTTTCTAAGAAGCACTGAAAATCATATATCATTGTCATGCTAAAGAAACTGCACTTTTATGAAAAGAAGCATTGTGCAAGTCCAAAAGGGTTGATCCTGTTATTCAGAGAGTCAGGGAAATTTGGAGTGGAGGAATGGAGCAAGTGTTCTAACTTCCAGAGATATCGAACCTAATCACTTGTTTGCTTTCTTGTCACTTCTCTCCATTACTTTGTCAATGATTTAAAATGTTTTATTTTACTTCAGCTGACACTGATTTGTTAATTCACTTGCTCTTGTTAGCAAACAGCTTAACAGTGGAAGCACTTTTGCAAGGTATGTTGTATGAGAGGCTGCATTATTGTAATAGAGCATCATTTAAATACAACAATAATTTGCACTGCATTAGTGGTCAAAAGTTTCAGCCGTGTGGAACACTGCTCAAACACACATCTCTGTCTGGATGCCTAATATCTCAAAGACTTGTTATCCCTTAACAATTAAGGTTATGCCAGGTTTAACTGCATTTCCTACTGTGTCCCCTATTATCTTTTTCCTTTGTGACTTTATTTCCTTATGAACACATTTGGCTGAAAACATTTGTCTGAAAGGGTTTTGTATACACTTGCTTTATCACTGTCTTATCACACAATGCCTCAGCTTGCTTTCCTCACTCCAGTCTCTCTCACTTTTCCCATGCAACTGCAATTTTAGACGTTTCATAAACATTGCAAAGGGGGAAATACTGAAGAAAGAAAAAAACCCAGGACACATATTTTGCAAAGACATTCCGGCTGCCTCACAATGTAGTTTATGTGGCATTGCTATGTATTATCATAATAAAATCCATAAACTCATGTCATATTATTTAAAGATGTGAAATGCATTTTCTCATTATAGAGAATGAGAAATGGCCACTTTTTATACTTACCTTTAAAATAAAAAATCCTCAGGACCAATGTCACCAATGTTTTCCCCATAGGCTTGCTGTACTGGAAACATGCATGAGCGTATAACTGGGCCTTTCACTAACAATTTTATATCCTGCAAGTAAGTCCATGAGTGAGCCTGTCACATCCTTGTAATGAAACGAAGCCTGATTTTTTTTTTTTTTTGGTGAGACAGGATACTCTTTTCACGTCTTATTAGATAATGGATGAGATGTAAAATCAGTTCTGTGGCAAAAGAACACCCCAGAGGCTGATCGGTTTGTCAGAATACATAGGCATCTCCCAACAGAAATGTATTAAGCGCTCCCTTTTTATGGCAAAGCATGCACCATGAAGAAAAGGCACGTCACTTACAACAAAGAGCAGTTTGTGATAATTTTATTCGTTTTTTTACATTCGGACATGAAAAATATAATAAAGTCTCAGTACTAAAATACAGCAACTGCAAAAATGCTGTCAGTTAACTTGTATTTTGTGGCTTCATTAATATTAATACAGTTATTTTGCCCTTGGAAAGAATAGGATTTAAGTTGTTCAGTCAGGGTTTAACACTTTTGCATAAATTTAATATTAGTAAGTGTTTAAAATTACTATAAGTAGTGTAATTATTGACAATAGTCACACTTTCTTTCCCTTCATTTGCCAAAAAAAAAGACTGGCAGACTACTGAGATAATATAAACAGCATATAAACTTCCTATGTCTTTGTGTATTTAGCACTTACTGTTGTTACCTTTGAAAGATTCTTCAGTTGGAAAGCAACCAACACAAGGAATAAATCCCAAAGGTCCCAAACCTACCCTCTAGGTTTATATATTAAAAAGAGGATTAGCAGCGAAATCCCCAAAGCACTTAAGGGATTTAGGCACTGGAAATTAATATAACCCCTGTGTGTGCTATTACAGGCTTTTGAATATCTGTAAAAATGTATGAGATAGGCCTAAGCAGCAATCCTGAATCCAAGTGACCTCAGAATAGGAGGTATTAAAAAGCTCAACAGGGATCCAGATCCTGTTTTTAAAATCCCCCTATCTTTATCATTCAAACAAAAGGTAAAATCAGACCAAACTCTGGTCAGCTCTATGGAATTCAAACACCACAGATGACATCTGCAGTGCCAAGAGTGATGCTGAATAAAAACTAGGAAGGTGAAACCAAGCCGGAGTCTCAGTTATTCCTGACTGGCCCATTTATAGTGTTTTACGTGTTTTAAGTTTGGAAGTGGGAGCAGAATGTAGCTCTTTTTTTGGATGAAAGGAAAACGAGTTTGTCATTTACATGCTATGCTGGTTGGTTTTTTGAAAACAAGATTTTGCCATTTCCTTTTTCACAACATTTCAAAGATCTGCTTTCCCTTGGATTAAGCACCACAGCTCTCATTCTCTCTTTTGCCTACTGCAAATGCCTTTTCTTTAATCTCCGATAAGATCTTCCTATAGTGCTTATAAAATATTACTGTTAAAATTGTCTTTCTTCCAACTTCAATACAACACTCCCATTCTTGAATCCCTACACAAAGCTTTAAGTTTGAGCTCCCTACTGTTATTTTAAAGTTACTCCTCAACTCAGATATTCCTGTTCTTTTTCACCTTTACCTCCTCCCGTGTGTCTACACAGCAGAATGAAGGCAAGGTTGCAGTGAGGTAGTCAGAGCCAAGGTTTAATCTGCAGCACCGTAGGTGCACTGCTAGGGACTGTGAGCTAACAACTCAAGCACATACCCAGATTTCTTACCAGGCTTCTGCAATCCATGTTGAAATCTGGACTGCCACGTCTTCATTCCTACAGTTATCACTACTAGCTAGACTGAAGACAGACTATGTATGATACATGGTTTGGCCAAAGTGTATCTTCCAAAACAGACATTCACATCCAGATTAAAGACATCAGGTGAGGAAAGATGCACTCATACCTCTGGTACAGTGTTTTAATGGCCATTCATACTGCATCATCTGATAGCGATAAGACAATGCTGCTGCACACACCCTAACCATGTCAGTTGGAACCCAGTCACCTAAAGCCTTTTATTGATATATTATGGTGATTTCCTTATCAGAATATTCTGTAGTTTGAAGTCTTAAAAAAAAAAAAAAAAGAAATTGCTTTTGTGCAATTACTTTTTCTAATCAAACTTGTAATCTCATCATAGAATGAAATCAGTTTCTTCTGATATGACTTGTTGTCATTGAGAATATACTGACTGGCAATCTTACCAAAATTGTTTTGTCTTCTCTGTTCTT